CCGCTGGGAGTCATGATTTACTCATATATGTATCTTCACCCAACATCCAGTTTGGCTTCTGTCGTTTCATGTGTCCCAAGACTGAGGCCAGATCCTTGGAATTGGTAAACTGGGTTCCTCTGCTAGAAAATCACATCTGGGATGGCTGCCATTATAGCATCTTCTACCTTTCCCAAGTGAAACAAGGTATATCACCAAAAGTACATTTACAGGCTTTCCAGCACAGTTATCCCAGTCACACCACTGACTGTGTCAGCAGAAGCGAGAAGCATAGATCTGGCCTGTGATTTAATCACTTTTTAGGACTTGTTTTCATGAGAAGAAAGGGTAGAACAGTGTTTTTAATCTAAGTCAGTTAACTTGAGGTAAAATTCTAAGGATTTGTTTGGTTTATTTGTTTTTTTTTGTTTGTTTAAGGTTTTATCTTTTTTAGCCACCTTACCAGCAGCTCCGCGTAGATGTTAATCTTATCTTCACAAATAAGAGAACACGAAGCAGATCCTTCCCAGATGACCTCAATCCCCGGGCAGGGTCATATGGGAGAAGACGGTCCTTCTGATACCCCACACCCAACCCATTTAGGGCTTTATAGGTCATAACTAAAACCTTAAATTGTGCCCGGAAACATACCGAAAGCCAGTGCTACTGCCGAAGCACTGGCATAATGTGTTCCATATTACGAGTATTAGTTAAAACTTGAGCAGCCGCATTCTGGGCCACTTGAAATTTCCAAAGGCTCTTCAGAGGCAGCCCCACATAAAGTGCATTACAGTAATCCAGTCAGGATGTAACAAGAGCATGGATCACTGTGGACAAGTCATGCTTGTTCAGAAACGGTCGCAGCTAGCGGATCAGACGAAGCTGCCCAAAAGCACTTCTGGCCACTGAAGAAATCTGGTTCCCAAATGTTAAAAAAGAATCTAGGAGGACTCATATGAAATGTGGTGAATACATTCAACCATTAAATTACAAAAGCCAGGTGCCACACCACATTCCCGAATAGATGGTGTCCTGATCCACAGGACCTCAGTCTTATCGGGATTCAACTTCAGCTTGTTTGCCTTCATCCAAACCATCACTGCCTCCAGACAACGGTTTAGATCAGTCACTGCCACACCTGATTCTCATGTCACAGGGAAATAGAGTTGGGTGTCATCTGCATAGTGATGGTACCGTCCTCCAAAACTCTGTATGACTTCTCTGAGCGGCTTCATGTAGATGTTAAACAGCATGGGGGACAAGATGGAACCTTATATGACCCTGTAACACAATTGCCACAGGGTCGAATAGCAGCCCCCTACCCTCTGAAAGAGTCCCGACAGGTATGACTGGAACCACTGCAAGATAGTGCCTCCAATACCCAGACATTCCAGATGGATACCATGGTTGATGGTATCAAACGCCACTGAGAGGTCCAAGAGAATCAACAGGGATGCACTCCTCCATCTATCTCCCAGCGTAAGTTGTCTACCAGGGTGACCGAGGCAGTTTCAGTTCCAAAACCTGGCCTAAAGCCAGACTGAAATGGATCTAAATAATCTGTTTCTTCCAAGAAAGCTTGGAGTTGCAACGCCACCACCCACTTGAGTACCTTACTCAAGAAGGGAATATTAGTAACTGGGCAATGGTTATTTAAATCACGTGGGTCCAGGGAAGGCTTCTTGACTAACAGTTTTATCACTGCCTCTTTCAAAGTGGCGGGAACCATACCAGATCTAAAAGACACAATGATAATCCCCTGGACCCAACCAGTCATCCCTTCCCAGCTAGATTTAATAAGCCATGAAGGGCAGGGGTTGAGCGAGCACATGGTCAGTTGCACTCCTCCGAGCACCTTGTCCGCATCCTCAGTCTGCAATAGCTGAAACTGTTCCAAAGAGAAACGACTGTGCGGTGCACTTAACACATTCTGCCCCACAGACATAGCAGCCAGAGTCCAAATCAGACTCAATGCGAGCCATCTTATCTGCAAGGTGCTTCGCAAACTGATCACAATGGGGCGCCTAGAGTTTCTCCATTTTGTCATGACTGCCAGACTGTAACACTCAAAACAGTTCCGCTGGACGGCATTGTGCGGATGCGTTACAGGTGGAAAAGTAACTTTTCTTTGCTGTCAGCACCGCCACAGAGTAAGCTTGCATTTTCGCTCTAACCCGCAGTCGATCGGTCTCAGCTCTAGTTTTCCTCCAGCAGCGGTCTAGCCGTTACACAGACCATTTTGCTGCCATCAATTCCCCAGAAAACCAGGGAGCAAACTTAGCTCGACTAGCCTGAAGAGGCACTTAGGAGCAATCATGTCAACTGCCCGGGCTACCTCGATGTTCCATATATCACCCAGGTCATCGACTCGACCATTTGCCATAATTGCTGAACAATTCCTCAGGGACCTCAGTAAGCCCTCGGGATCCATCAGCCTCTGAGGGCGGATCATCTTAATCAGTCCCCCGCCTCTGTGGAGGGGAAGGTCAGCAGATAATCTAAACTTGACCAGGTAGTGATCAGTCCATGATAAGCAGAGCGTAGCCACATCCCTTATCCCAAGAACTCTATCACCTGAGTCCAGAAGACCAGATCAAGCATATGACCTGCAACATGCATGGGGGCAGATATTTCTTGGGCTAGTCCTAGGGTGGTCATGGTATCCACAAAATCTCAGGCTGGACCAGAAAAGAGAGCTTCAACATGGATATTAAAGTCCCCCAAGACCAGAAGCCTCGGGGTCCTCAACACCACATCCAAGATCACCTCAGCCAGCTCGAGCAAAGTGCCTGCCATACAGCGAGGTGGATGGTACACAAGCAGGATACTCAACTTATCCCAGCCACCCAACTGTAGGGGTAAACTGAAGCAGTCCATGGTATCTTGCTGAGAACGGAGAACTCAGGTCCTAAATCATTAGACAAGCCTGGGAATACAGTACAGCAGTTAACTTGACCCTGGTCATCCTGGAAACCACATTCCAAAAGGGCCTCACTTTGATAAGGCCGGTATCAAACAACCAAACAACCACACGGGATTGTTTTTCATTGTCTGCTTTATTCCTAGAAAATAAGCTTGGATCCCAAAGATCGCGCCAAGGCAATACCACCCCTGCAGTAGATGCATTATATTTCCAGCCAATGAAATGACCATCAATATGCCTTTGTTTATGTTGGCTTATTTACCTTGTAAGAAATAATTATTTGTATTACTGATAACATGTTTAATTGGCGATGGGCGAGGATCCTGTGTAATCTTCATAGTTCATTGGCTTATGTGCACATCTCATTTCGACCTCTAGACCTATTAAATCACTTCCCCTCCACCCATCTGCTGCCTACATAATCTAATGCGTGTTTTGGTTAAATTAGTGCTCGCCAGGCTAACCCCTGATGGGTACTCCACCAGCTGTGTGAACCAATAAATCCTCTGCTTGTTTTCACCTGCACCCAGTGTGTCTGGAATTATTCCCTACAGTTCAGGCTAGGCTGTCTGCAGCAACATGAGCACATCAAGTCTGTGCTTAATCTTGTACCGCCGCTCCCCGAGTTATGACCACCTCCACTTACGACCATCCGCGCTTACGACCAAAGCGGTCGTAAATGCGGATCCGAGTTACGAACAGCGATCCATGCTTATGAACAGCGCGGTCGCCATGTAACTCTATGGGATCCAAGTTTGCCACCTCGCCTCCCCGACCATTAAGCTGCGGCTGATGCTGTACTGAGAATGCAGCCAGGCACAATTAGGAAAAATCAACACCTCTCTCCACTCCCAGCCAGGTCTCAGTGATACAAGCCATGTCAGCTGATGGCCAGGTATTAAAGTTCCCAGAGTCATTGAGGCTGGGAACGGGACCGGAACAAGGAATAGCACATAACTGTCTAAACCTCATTCCTTTGGCTGGACAGTCCAGATCTTAGGGTACATCTACACTCGCCCCCTAGTTTGAACTAGGGAGGCTAATGAGGGCGACCGAAATTGCTAATGAAGCCCGGGATTTAAATATGGAATGAAGTTTAACTATTAATTCAAACTAAGGGCTTTATCTCAGAATCGCCGTTCTCTGCCGCATGTAGACGTGGGCAGTTACTTTGGGCTAGTCAGTTTCCAAAATGGCGACCGGCTTGGGAATATGCTAATCAAGCACGGGATATTTAAATCCCGTGCTTCATTAGCTATTTCGGTCGCTCTCATTAGCCTCCCGAGTTCCAATGAGGGGGCTAGTGTAGATGTACCCTTACTTCCATATCTTCCCCTTCCTGTCACAACTGCAACAAAGCTATCTGAACCCTCCCCCTTAGCCACCCCATCTGTGCCAAAGCACATAACAACAACAACAAATTCTAATAATACAGTGGTGCTGTAATATTTTCACAGAATTCTCCATCCCATCGCTCCTTAGGCTGGCTAACATGTTGTTTGCTTTACAGGCCTAGCAGCACACTGAGCAGAGGTTTCACTGAGATTGGCACCCAACCTCCCCATGGTGACAATCCAGTCTCTGTCTGAGTTGTCCCAGTTCATTAACAACCCACTGACGCTATTTCTCCCAATGAATGATGGTACCTTGATTGCCTGTCAGTGAATTTCACCTGACAAGGAGTTGCCCATTCATCCAACTTCGTCACATCACTCTGAAGTTCCTCACCATCTTCCTACCCTAAATAACATGCCACCTGCACACTTGGCCACCTGCCTGCTCCCTGCCTGCAGCCTACGGCTTGGCTGGACCCTGTCTGCGGAGACACAGCCTCTCTAGTGAGCCCCTCGCCATGATGTCTAGGCATCTTCTCTGTCCTCAGGGAGCGTTTGGGGCCCAGTGTTCACCCACCCCAGCCTAAGCCCTCGCTAGCTGCAAGAGTCATGGCAGCCCGTCTCCCCCAGCCCTGGTGGCAAGTCCCCATGTCAGTGTCCCTTTTGTCAGACCTCCCTGTGCTCCCCCTCCTTGGGGGGTTTCAAATTCCCCACAGCAAATTCCTCATTCCTTCCCCATTTCTCCTGTTCAGCCCATTACTCACCACAGTGAAAGTAGCTGCAGTTCTGTTCTGTGCTGTGGAAGTCATCATTTTGGGACACTTTGAACTCTTCATGGACTGGGATTAACACTTCTTCTTGGGATCGGTTGTATGATAATTTACTGATATCAACGCCGAACCTTGTGTGGATGGTTAAAACTGTGAAGATGCTGGATGACTCCTTCTCCGCAAATTCCTCAGCCACCTTTTTGTTAAGAGAGGAAGAGGCAAAATATCCAAACCTGATAGGCTCTGATCTTGTGTACCTATATTCAACATCAGAAACCCCCCGGTACACCGTCTGTTTGTACGGCTGATTGCAGTTCCAATGTAATTCCTGCAAAGCTCTCGTCAAATAATAGTGAAAGGCTTTGAATTTGAAATTGGCCTTGTTATCAGCTTCAGATTTTATGGTGTCTTGCATTGCCTGTTTAAATACAGTAGGAAAAGCTTCAGGATTGTTGTATTTGCAGCGGTCAGTATAGGCTATGGCTATTCCATACTCATCCTTCAAGTTAAAAGAGAGCTTTTTTTTCACTCCTTGCCAGTGTTTTGTTGCATTATCCCACACTCGTCTCAGCAGATTGCTCTTGGACTTTTCTTCCTCCAGCAGTGCAGGTGCTTTTTCATCCATTTCTTTAGCGCATCCAATATATTGGTCATCAAAAGCATTAGCTGCCTTGTCTAGCACCACAATGCGTTTTACCTGGGGATATAATGGAGCATATGGTCACGTTAGCATTGGTGTTACAATAGCACTGAGCGGTCACCCCCTAGATCGGGGCTACTCAACTTTGGAAGTCTTGGGGGTCACAATGATACTCACAGCACATGCCGAGGGCTGCAACTTAAGAGTGGTTGTATATACAGGCATATATATATGCAAATATATCCAAATAGCTTCTTTCACATTGACTGGCATGAATACAAAGATTAAGCCTTAAATCGCAGTGCCGGATCCAAACGTGGCCAGTGTGAGCTAGTCAGCACCTCTCAGGCTCTGACCACTAGGCTAAGTAACCAGCACTTCCCACAATGCCCCAGTGCTCCTGGCACCTCCTCCCTGGGGGCTAGAAACACCAACACTCTGTACCTGTCAGTTCCAGCCAGCACGTCCGCTTTGCTATTGTGGAGCATGTTCCCAGTGGAGGCCATGCTGAACAGGATCCCACCCACTAGCGGTGAGTTGAGCCCTACGGAAACCCAAACTGCACCATGGGCCACAAACAAGTGGGCCACGGGCCACATGTAGCCCAGGTGTGTGTGCAGCCTAATGGAAGTCCAAGCTGCTTTCCCAGTGCAGCCGGCCATTTTCCTTGCCTCCTTTGTCCATGGGATGAGGGAGGGGGCGGTGAAAATCATGATCCCCTGGGGACCTCTAGGCCTTTTGTCCAGGCCGCACATGGCCTTGCTCCTGGGACATCACCTTCCTATGATCCAGGAACTGTTGCTCTCAGCTCAGAGATGAGGACAAGGCTTTGGGGACAGTGTCTCCAGGGATGACTGACCACCTCTCTTTCCTCCCCCCTGCTGACCCAACTGTGACTATGGGGTGATTGACACCAGCCCGGCCAGCCACCTAACCCCAGGAAAACCACAGACACTGGAGGGTCCAGGAGGACCTCATGAGGGAGCACGTCTCCATCCTGAGGGACATGTAACAGGTGCTGGCCCAGAAGGTCCGGGATGATGCACTGTGGCCGACCCAGATATGTACTGAGCTGTTGCAGCAGGGATGCAACATGTGTGCGACTGTCCAGGAGCTTCTGATCTAACTGGCGCCAGTCCCTATCCCTGCTCCTACCCCAGTCCTTGCTCCTGCTCCTGCTCCTGCCCCTGCCCCAGTCCCTCCTCCCCCTCCTATGCCTGACTCC